AGGGCTTTAAAGAGATACCTGTGCACAGATGCCCAGCTCAGCCCAATTCTACTATCTCCAGAGGGAGTAGGGGTAGTATCACTGTCCTTTACTGGCTTCCAGTAATTTCATAGACATCAGCCTCAAGAAAGAATTCCCATTGAAAGTGTGTGCCTGTGAGTTGTTCAAGGACTTTGAAAAGAACAAAAGATTCTTTGATGCTGTTAGTCACTTACATGGTTAGGAATCGGCTGAGATGCAGCGAGCTCCTACCATTATCAGGTCCTGAGATTCAGGGCCTCCATATGTCCTCCCCTGTTCCCCTATGCCCTCCCCTGTTCCCCTATACCCTCCCCTGGTCCTCTATACCCTCCCCTGGTCCCCTATGCCCTCCCCTGGTCCTCTGTACCCTCCCCTGGTCCCCTGATGCCCTCCCCTGGTCCCCTATGCCCTCCTCTGTTCCCCTATGTCCTCCCCTGGTCCCCTATGCCCTCCCCTGGCCCCCTATACCATCCCCTGGCCCCCTATACCCTCCCCTGGCCCCCTGATGCTCCCACCTTGTACCTCTGATGACTCCCAGGGTTTTGTGAGCTACAGACTGGAGTTGTGATGACTCAACTGCTTTTCTCATCTGGTTCGTCTGTTCCTAGGAAGTGCCTACACCTAGAACATGGGTGATCAAAGCAAAGACTCAGACGGTGGCAAGTTCTTGACCTACAAGTCTCTAAACATGCGATCTTGATTGCAACCTTCCCTCTGTGTCTCAGTCACTTTTCCTGTACAATGTTAAAGGGTGTTTATACATTATGTTGTGTGTTTACTCAGCGGGACTATATCACCCCCAAGAAGGAGGAGCATATTCATGTGGGGAGGAGAATTGTACTTAAAAAAATAAACTAAGATAGCCATGAAATACACAGACAAACATCAGTATATCTGTGATATCAAAATTTAATGAATGGTAAAAATTAGGGAAAAAATCTAAAAGTTCTCCTTAGGAGAGTAGGAAATAGAAAGACAGAGACAGGAACTATTGCTATAGAGCAGTGTGGCTATGTGGCTAAGAGGAGACGTGGGATATGCAGGCTGCGGCACAGCTGGGCCCTCGGGAGCCATGGCTGTCAGTGGTGGTCAAGAATGGGTGTTCTGCCTGGTATGCATTGAAAGATCTGTTCCTTCAAGATGCACACATCGACTTCAACTACACTTTGGGGATGTTCAAAGCTTCCTTAGAGATGTGGGAACAGCACTCTCGCACATCCTGTGGTTCTGTCCCCCTGAAATGGCTCCTCGGTTACTTACAATGATATTGGGTTAAAGTCTGTCTCCCTCAGAGTTCAAGACTGTGCCAACTCCTTTGAACTATACAAACTCGGTGTCTAGCACGATGAAGGCTGTTGTTAAGTATTTGTGGGAGAAGGAGGGAAAGAGAAGAGGAGGAAGCAAGAGATGGAGGGAGGAAGTTAGAAATGAAACTCGAGTTCCCACAAACCTCTGTGCCTCTCCCTTGTCCCAGCCAAGTCTGTCTACTTTGCTCCTGTTGATGGGCTGTGGCCCAGGGCCCTCATGCTGGCCACAGAGAAACTCTGTACAGACTTCGTCATCTAGGCAAGGATGTTTGCGGCCAGTGGATGAGTGATGTTTGCTGACGGCATAAGAGCAGCTCCTTCCAAAAGTTGGAAACCAGGCATGCCGGAAGGATCAAAGACCAAGACAGTCAGAGACAGCGGACAAGTGTCTGGAAACCACAGACACCTGAATCTACTCGGGTGTCTGTAAAGACGGTCCTGGAGCCTCAACACAGAGTCTGAAACACACTGAATGCACTGTGCTTTGGGGCTCAGCGGGACTGTGGGTGCAGCACTGAGTAGAGCGGGACACTGACATTCTGTTCTGATAGATCCTAGACGGGCTTTGCTCTGATGGGGAGTGTCCTTGACACCATGTAGCGATGACAGGTCCATGGACCAGGGTTCAAATCTCAGTTCATCATTGAGGGTCTGTGTAGACTGGACACCAGCTTTTCTCGCTCTCCAAGCCTCAATTACTTCATCTAGAAACTTCAAAGGAATGGGGATCAGAATACCGGTTGATTCTTCCTCACCGTGAAGAGTTAGTGAGACAATGTGTGTGAAATGTTCAGCACTAGCCTTGTGTGGCGAGAATACTCCATGAACACTAGCTGTCATTATCATCAGCTAATTCAGTTGTTGCCTTAAGCAAGATGAGCTCAGTTCATCACCAAGTCCTGGCTTTTTCAGTACACAAAACTCAAGCCAACGTTGTCACCAAGAGAGTAAGGGACCAAGGTCCCAGTAGCAATGTCTTAAGAGACCCAAACTGAAAACAGACAGGGCGCTCATTGACAGCAAAACAAATAAAGCCACATCCTGGAATGTGATGTGGTGATGAGGGTCAGTGCGGCCATTAGTGACAAGCAGTGATTTAGATAAACTACCGCAACTGGTAACACTGGGCAAGTCTCACCAATGGTGCCGGTGAATGAAGGAAGCCAAGGGGGGCTAAACTGCATGAGTCCTTCTACATACAGTGCACATGTGTGTAGGGGTGCAGTCTGTGGTCTCAGGGCTGAGGGTGGTGTAGCCTCTAGGGTTGAGAGGAGTAATTTTACCCAAGAAGGGAGAACGCTGGTCAGATTTTGTGTCACGGTGTAGGTGATGTGTTCACAGCTGTCCTGACACTGGAAATCCATGGAGGCACCTTCTGATGTGTGCCCACTCCTAGCTCCATGCTGCCTTTCCACTATGGATACAGGAAGTAAAGGATGCTGTCATGTAGAGCACTGCAGACAAGGTGTGCAGCATCCTGGTAGCTATGGCCTTGATTCCTTGGATTTAGTCAACTAAATCTAACTAAATCACAGTGGCCAACTGTGGTGTAAAATTATTAAGTGAAAAATTCCAGTGAGAGAAAGAGTAAGTAATACAGAATCAGAGAGAGAGAGAGAGAGAGAGATTGCTTATTGTTAGCAGAATAATAAGCTTAGTACAGCCACATACTTTTATACAGTACCAAGATTAGGATCAGTATAGCAATTTGGATGCCAGCCACATCATTTTTACCACAGAATATTGTTATAATTTCCTACTGTGCATACTTTATACATTAAACTTCATCATAAGTGTGTGTGTGTGTGTGTGTGTGTGTGTGTGTGTAGGACTAAAAATAGCATATTGAATATTCAGTTATATTCAAGGCTTCAGGGATCTACTGGGTCTTGGAAAATATCCCTCAGGGGGCTGGTGAGACAGCTAAGCAGTTAAGAATGCTTACTGCTCTTGGGACTGGAAAGATGGCTCAAGGGTTAAGAGCACTGGCTACTCTTGCAAAGTACCTGTGTTCGATTCCCAGCACCCACGTGGTGCTAAAAACCATCTATAACTTCAGTTCCAGGGGATTCAATGCCCTCTTCTGACCTCCACAGGCATTTCATGACACAGGTGCACCTACATACATGCAGGCATGCACTCATACACCTAAAGTAAAAATAATAAATAAAACATGTATTTAAAGAGTGCTTACTGCTCTTGCAGAGGACCCAAGTTTGGCTCCCAGCACCTACATGGCAGCTCACAATCACCTGTAACTTTAGCTCCAGGGGATCCAACACCCTCTTCTGGCCTCCATGGGCAACTGTACATATGTGGCATACATAAACATAGACATACACATAAATAAAAATAGGTAAATATTTAAGCAAATATCTTGCATGAATATGGAGTTCTCACCACAGTGCAAATCTGTACTTACCTACAAGGAAACTCAAAATGTCTAGCAGAAGGAAGACAGGTACATAACAATAACATGCAAAATCATAGTCATGGAACTACAGAGCTGGCACAGAGGCAACCCAGAGGGGATCATGACCAGGTGTCACAGCCTCCGCTGGTTACATTGAGCAGGGCTGAGGCCACTCACCCAGTGGCTGACTGTCTCTGTTCCTTCCTCCACATAACTAAACCATCTGTCCATTCCCAACATCCCCACCACCACCACCTCCATCATGGCCACACATCTGCCACCCACATTACACTAACGATTATTTTGACTTTTCCTCTGGCCCGCCTCCACACCACTCTCTATAATATTATACCTTGGGTTGAGACCTCTGAGATTTCAAAAAGTTCACCTATTTTTCTCATGAACTCCAACCCTAGGGAAGTCATGGCCTCCCCTAGAGCCAGATGCCATTCACACTAAAAATATAGTCCAAGGCTTTTAGAAAGCACTCTAACGTACTGGTTTTTCTTTTTGCCTTCAGAAGACAACTCCCTTTCTAGAAGGTCTCGACTTCCCCAGACCCACCTTGCAGCTCATTCAGGCGTGTCTGCTTTGTTCTCTTTCCCTAAGTCCCTTTATAAGCTTAGGGCTGGTGCTCTGCACAGTTTCAAGTCCCATCTCAGACACTGTCTGTGCAAAGCCAGCATCAATGCTCCTGAGCACTGTGGTTGTAACCAGACGCTCACACACTGCAGAAGGAGGTGACTTCCCTCAAGCATTACTCTGTCATATCTGACCCGTACTCCATCCACCACCCTTAGGAGCAGGACCTGCTCTGTTCATCCTAGCACCATCAATGCCCAACACCCGGCTAGGTCACCAAGGCTGTGCCTTCTCTTTTCTTTTGAGACAAGGTCTCTTAGAGTCCAGGGTAGACTCAGACTTGCTCTGTAACCAAAGGATGATCTTGAACAATGATCTGCTACCTCTTGAGTGTTAGGATTACAGGCATGTATCACCACGCCCAGTGTATGCAGTGCTGTAGATAGAATACAGAACTTTGTACATGTTAGGCAGGCACTCTACCAACTAAACTACGCCCCCATTTGCAGACGGTGTCTTTCACTGGGTGAACTCCATCAGCACAGAGCAAGTCACTCAGAGACAAGTGGTTTGGGTCAGATAAAGAGCCGTGTTCATCCATGTTTCACGGATGAGGGACATCTCAAGGTCTAAGCTGTCTACCCTACTCATCCTCATTCCACTCTTTCGTTCCCCAGTGACCTTCAGTGACTGCAAGGGCAACGAAAGGCTGCGCTACGAGGTCTCCAGCCCACACTTCAAGGTGAACAGTGATGGCACCTTGGTCGCCCTCAGAAACATAACGGCAGTGGGCAGGACCCTGTTCGTCCACGCGAGGACTCCCCATGCGGAAGACATGGCAGAGCTCGTGATTGTTGGAGGGAAAGATATCCAGGGCTCCCTGCAGGTAACTCGGCGGTGTGGTATGAGTTGGATCTAGAGCAATGTTAGAGTCAGTCTGTATTGTGTGGAAAATGGGTGTTTATTTTGTTGAAGAGTATGTTATTTCTGTTGTTAAGAGTGACAAAAGTTTAACTCAAAAGATGGGGGAAGGACAATGGGAATTCATTGGTTCTGAATCTAATACATTTTCAGAGCTTGGTCCCCACCAGGCATCACTATGTACTGGTGTCCAGAGGAGGACATCAGTCCTGATTTGTCCCTGCCTTCTGGCTTTGTCTCCCTCACGTGGTTTCACTCCGAGACAGCCCAATGTGGAAGTTCCCAGCCACACGCACTTCATTCCATAAGCTGAGGTCACCTGAGAGTGTCTTTTTCTGGTGCGACTGACCAAGCTGGAGATTGAATCTCGTTGGCTGTAATTCCATCACAGGAACATCCCCAAACAAATTTCTGTATCCATTTGTGACACTGGTTGGCTGAAGGTCTTTTTCTGGGACTTTTTCTATCCACCTATCACATGGATTGGAATGGAAAGAAGGGTGTTTATTTAAAATAAAGGAAGGTGCTATCATCAGAGGAAAGGGGATGGAGGCTGGACAGGGAAAGACACAGTGGCCCATGGAGTTATATAGCAAGGTGACCACTTCATATGACATGGCTCCTTTGCTACAAACCTTCCAGATACTCACATGTGCTGATTTCCGCACCCCCACCCATATGTACAGACTTTATAAATGTCCCAGTGTGCCATGTAGGCACCCTAATGGTGTCAGTCACAGTGTTTTTTTATTAAAAAATTATCTATCATCTATGTACCTATCTAGTTAATGTATATGTGTGTGCTCACCCACATGAGTTTATGTATGCCTTGTACATAGAGGAGCCTGTGGAGGCCAGAAGAGGGCATCAGTTCCCCTGGAGCTGGAGTTACAGGTGATTGTGAGCGGCCATGTAGGTGCTGGGAACTTAACCTGGGTCTTGTGCAAGAGCAGTAAATACTCTTAACTGCTGAGCCATCTCTCCAGCCCCAGTCAGAATGTTTTGGCTACAAACCAAGGCACCTGCTTTCTTTTCTCCTGGAGCGCTGAGACTCTGGCTTCTTGATTAAAAGACATTTTGAAAGATATTCAGGAAGATTCTCACAGAATACTAACAACAGTGGTGGGGCCAGTTTGGTATGCCTCACCTTGTCTCTTCTGTGCTGCCCCGCTCCTCACTGAGAAGGCCGTGGTACTCAAGGAGTCTCCATCCGCGGCCGGCTGTGTGGTGTGCCACGCACGGTGCCACAGCTAGGAGAAAAGAAAGCAGGTACCCACAGCCTTCCTGCCCTCATTGTCTCCGTGACCTTAGGAGAGCAGTACAACTTCTTTACTGCAGACTACAGGGGCCGACACGGGCTTGGGTGGTTCATAAGTGGCCGGTGCGGCTAGGAGAAAAGAAAGCAGGTACCCACAGCCTTCCTGCCCTCATTGTCTCCTTGACCTTAGGAGAGCAGTACAACTTCTTTACTGCAGACTACAGGGGCGACACGGGCTTGGGTGGTTCATAAGTGGCCGGTGCTCTGTCCCACTCCGTCACTGAGCTCATGACAGATCGGGCTGAACACCCCTAGCTTGACCAGAGTGTCTTTCCCAGAACAGCACTTCTGGAAGTGACTGTCAATGGCTCACATATGTTTCTGTGGAAGGACTCTCTTTACCACGCCTAGGTAGGATAACACAACGCCCCTTCCCATGTATCCTCTGCAAGGAAAGGAGAGACTGGAACATCTGCCCGCTGTGCAAACCAGGGATCTGCCGCGTGGCACTGACATTTTAAAATGTATTCTTGACAGTTTCATGCTGCATATAATGTATCTCATCATACTCACCAGCATTACTCTTATTCCCCTCTACTCTCTGAACCCCTTCTATTTTTCTCTTTTCTTAATGACCGAGTTTATCAGGGCTGCTTGCACAAGCACGGGTTTGGGATTATTTTTTGGAACATGGGAAACTCATCAGTAGCTAAATCACTGAAGGAAAATGATTCCACCTCCTTCAACAGCTATCCATTGTTCCTTAGCTGGGGAGGGGGGGGGGTGGTGAGCCCTTCCCCCGTTCGTGATGGGGTGTTTACAGGGTCAGTCTCCTACAGCTGTTGTGCAGATAATCACAGCTGCTGTGAGTTCGCAAGGGGAACGGCCATGCCACGTCTCGAAGACGTCTCACAGACCCCTCCCCGTGCTCTGCTCTTAGTTCCTTCTGTCCCCTGCTATGATGCTCCCCGAGCCTCAGGGGAGTGGGGTTGAGGTAGATGCCCGTTTAGTTCGGAGCACCCAATGGTCACTGTTCTCGGTTTTTTGACCAGTTATGAGTCTCTACCTGTTTCCCACTGCAAAAAGAAGCATCTCTGGCCGGGGCTGAGGAAGCTCTAATCCATAAATGTAAATATTTAGGAGGTGGTTTGACAGCATGCCCATTATTTAGCGGAACAACAGCGTCATTGATCTATGTAAAGACAGTAGGATATTGGTGGGCGTATCAGCAGCAGGAAACCACACACAGAGGCAAGCCTGTTTCTTACTTAGCCAATGCCATTTTCACAGCATCTCACTGGCTTGTGATGTAATGACTCGGCCAAGAATCCCAACAGCAGAGCTGATAGCATGTGAGGCTAAGATAGTTCTTAGGAATGTGCAAATGGTACAAAGATCCGGGAGAGGGGATTCCACAAGGGACTACCTGTGTCTAGGTGAGCTTGGTTTAGCATTGGTGGCTGATCTTTATATTCATTAAGAATAATACCCTAGTGTTTACTTGAAATTCAGCAGGAAGGATTCTGGGAACTTCTCAGTACAGGGTCTACCTTGAAGGGTAGGGAGCCCGAGGTTTTTGGCCAAAGGACTTGGCTATGAGATCTGGGCCTCTCATGTCCCATGAGATGCTTCCCACCAGCACAGCTTCTCCAAGCCCTGGCTAGTTATCGTGCGTACCTTCTAAATGCATTATGGATAAAACTTGGCTGAGATTGCTCACTTCCTACCTATAAAGCATCCAGGAACTGCTGTGGCCTCTAGTGGCCCGACTCCTGCAGTCCAGGGCTGCAGCTTCTGTAGCCTTAGCAATGAGGTTTGAATATGCTCAGATGCGTCCATAAACCTCCAAAAGAAGGGGTATTGAGTTGGTAGAGATAGATTATAGGTAGATAATAGATAGATGATAGAGCAAGAGATGAGAGATGTTGGATAGATGATAGATAGGTAGATAATAGATGATAGAAAGATGATAGATGTTAGGTAGATGATAGGTAGATAATAGATGATAGATGATGGATGTTAGATGATATATTATAGATCTATAGGTAGATAATAGGTAGATTATAGATGTTAGAGAGATAAATGGTAGATAGGTAGATAACAGATAATAGATAGATGGATGATTGATGGATAGTTTATAGATAGGTAGATAATAGATGATTGATTAATAGATGATTGATAAATAGGTAGATAGATGATTGATAGATAGATAGATAATTGATAGATAGATAATAGATCATTAGATAGATAATAGATCATAGATAGACAATTGATGGATAGATTATAGATAGGTAGATAATAGATACATGATTGATAAATAGGTAGATATAAATGATTGATAGATAGACAGATGATGATGATAGATAGATAGATGATAGGTAGATAGATAGGTGAGAGATGACAGATAATAAACAGCTGATAGATGATAGATAGGTGATAGATAATACATGATAGGTAGGTAGATTGATGGATGGATGG